AGGTGTTGAAGGAGATGAAGGAAGGGAAAGCAAACTGCCCTGCATCATTCCATCAGCAGATGTCAGCACCAGCCGAGTCTGTAATAACCTGGGAAACCTCTTGGTGCTCTGGGCACACAATGTGAGTACCTGAAACACATTACCAAAGGTCAAACTGTGGTTTGATTTCAATATTTTACTGAACTTGTTCTTATGCCTTCATAGCCTGAAGCTTTCTGTTTAATAACAGAGCACATATTAAGCCATAACAACTTTAGATTACCTGTTCTAACCAATCAAGTTTGGAGTGGAGAACTACAGAAGTTTACAACTTCAATTATCCTCTGCTTTGCTGTCTTCACATCACCTCTTTATACCACACTAGTTACAACTCAGATACCACAGCATTTTTTAAATAAACAGGAAATTAGAAAACATTCCAAATTTACTAGCTCTATTATTTATAAATAATGTTATTTAACACTATTCTCTGCCTATGATACCCATTCTCTGTACTGCTCAGGCAGAATCCTGCAAACTCTGGCTGTTTTTATTGCTGTCTTCCTTGTCTCAGTTATTCACTGTGTTTGCTGGTTCCTATGAGAGTGCAGACACTGCTAACCTGAATTTCTGGAATACTGAGACTCAGACAAACCTGCCCATGGGAAAAGAAGGGCAGTTGAAGTTGTTATATTTACATTCAAGCAACTTCTGATTTAATAAGATTCATTTTGATGTGATGACCTGCCATGAAGTCCCAAGTGGATGTTCCAGAGCAGCTTTTTGGATACCATATGTATGGAGCAGAATACATTCACTCTGAGGAACAGAACTGCACAGCCACAGAGATACAGACAATCCACCCACATTTCCCAGTGCTGCTCTACAAAACCCTCCAGCTGAATAAGCATTTCAAAAATGTACCTGTACAACACAAGATCTGAATTTCCATCACTGAATGCTAATACATAACATTCATTTTTTTTTTTTTTAAATACAGTACCGCTTTTTCTCCACAATTTGTTGGCAGCTGTTTAGCCTAGGAGTCATTTGGAAGGGACAGACTTCAAAGAAGAGAAGGCAGAAAGAAAAGGCTAAAATAAAGATTTATGTCAAGTGCAAGGTGGCTTTCTGTTGTAAGAGCAAAGCATAGATAGATACTTATTTGGAACTAGATACTTATTTGGGTGGGGAGATGGAGATAACAAGAAGGGAGGACACTGAAAGGTAGGAGGGAGCCTAAATGCAAAGGCAGATGAAGCAAATACACAGCACCTTGAAAAAGCAGTATGGAACAGCATGTACTAAGCTGTCATTTCTTAATGCTTCTTATTGTCACTGTGAAGGGCACATTAAATCCATCTCACACATCAGAAGACTCAGGCTTACAGGTATGGAAAGCTCTGAGGGGCCTTCAGTCAGTTGTTTACATAATGTGAAATGAAGAAATGTGAAGTATGGCAAGTTCCTTCCATGCTCTAAGTGTAAAAACAGTCAGTTAAAGAACTCTACAGATTCTAATTGGTCTGCTAAATTACCTAGAGAAAATAAGAATAATTTTAAAAAGCAAGGCAAATTATATTTACCAGTGTTTCACTTTGAAATGAACATTAAAAAAATAAAGAACTCTATCAGAAGCTATTATTTTTGGGTTTAAATTTTCTTTGTAATATGTTATTTTTTCCTGTTTTCTGCTTCCTGGCTATACCTGCTGGAATCAATACTCAGTCATCACAGCTGACTACCTTACAATGCTTCAGTTACTCATCATGGGATTTCCTGTGTTACACAGAGAAACTCTGCAATAATTAACTAACTCCAGGTTAGCAGTGCTGGAAACAGCCTGCAATCACAAGTGAAACGTGTTGTAATGTTTCAGAGAGGCTTCACAAGGAAACCAATAACTCAGGACAGTCACAGAATTCATTGGCACAACTCCCCTGAGTGCTCCTGCCTTGCATAGTGTTGGGTTTGTCAGCTCCTGCCTCTTCCACTAATAATTAAGGGGAAGTTGATGAGTTTTACACATTCTCAGCCTACAAAGCTATGTGTGAAGCTTTAGAAAATCCACAAAGCTGAGTCTTGGGAAAACCTACAAAGACCACATTTCTTTGGGTAGGTATCATTATTGTACTTCCCCTTCCCATCATTACTATAACTATTAGAAATATGCTGAAAAATTTTAGAATTTTAGAATGCATAAATGAAGGCTTGCTGATGAGAAAATGGGAACTATTGTCAGTTCTGTACTCATCAACACTACATTAACCAATTAAACTCCAGCAACACCAAGTTCAATGAATAAAGAATCACTTTGGGAGCTCTGAGTAGCTGTTTTATAACAATAAAGAACCACACAAGGCCCATAGCTCTCATTACAATGTCAAACTCCACCCTGTGTTCATTTGCTCTGGTTTAGTGGAATCTCATCAACTTTTAGTTAGTGCAAGGCTGTTCTCATCCATAGGTAAAGACTGTGTGGAAATTGGGGTTTGGGGATGAGTTTACTGAAAAACAAAAGTATGGCTCTAGCAAAACACATCCAACACCCACCATTTAAAGAACTACCTCTCTACTAGATGGATAGAGAAGAAGCCTTTTGGTTTGAGAAGATACAAGGTACTCATTTCATGCAGTGGATTCAAATGAAATAAAAACATTCTTTGGATATTTACCACCTCAAAAACAACTGGGGAAAAAACCCACTGAAAAGCTCACCGACTGTTTTGTAACAACTTGAGAATCTGACACTGACCATGGATTTCCTACCCAGCCTGTGGTTACAGGAATGGCTGGCCAGACTGGAAATAGATGAAATACATGGAATATAAAGCACCAAGCATCTTCACACCATTGTCAACATAAACATCCCCAAGCAGCTCTCAGAGCATGGGACTTGCTTGATTCTGGAAAAACTTGGACATTGTGTTAACAGGACAAGGAGGACTGGAGGTGCAAACAGCACAGAGCCAGAACATGCCCTAAATTCACATGCTGAGTATACTCCAACAATATCATATATTAAGAGATTAAAACATTAGGATATTATTTTGAAACATTGATTCACCAACATTTCTTTAACAACAGAAAGGCTGGAATGCAGAACTGAAAGATTTTTGTTCAGATTGTCATGACCGTACAACTGCCAGGGCCTAATGAGAAAAAGCAAATGAACAAAAACCTCCAAACTGTCCCTTTGGAGATTTATTTTTAAATAAAAAGACAGTAAAGCAATTTTCCTCCTACTCTATCAGGTCCATCAAGGTTTCAAAACAGAGGTGGCATGTGTGAGGTGTTTTGGTTTTGATTAAAGCTGATTAATTACTGACTCATTGAATAGGAGAAGAAATCTTGTGTCAAAACAGTGTCAGCAAGAGCTCATAGAGGTAACAGCAGACAGACATGTGCTCTTTGGTATAAGGCTTTCATAATCTGATCACATGAATAGCAGGTGTTTAATTGTCTTTGGTCACCTTTAAAAGTTTCATTAACTGCCACTGAAGTACTAAGTACCTTTAAGAATTTTTAATTCTTGATTAAAGGTTCTTTAGAAAGAAGAGAAATTGCCTCCTCTGAGGATTCAAACATAAGAAATCATCAAGAATGCTGAAAGACAAGATTCAGAGCTGATAACCATGTGAGAATTTATTTCAGGATATTTTGATTGATGGCACAGACATCAGAAAAAAGCACTGAGGTAAACTGTGCTGTTCTTACAGGAAGATATGGCAGAACAAAGCCAAATCGCCACAGGCTGTGCTATAACATCACACTACAGGGAAACATTTCTAGAATAACCACAAACAGCACTGGGCTGCCCCAGCTGTGCTGCAGAGCCCTGGGGAGAACACCTGATGAGCTTAGGACAAGCTGAGCACTGGCCATGAGTATCTGGCTTTGGCTTCAATACTCTACAGTCTAACATTTTAACTACTTGTATCCTAAATTTGTGCTCTGTGGAAGGGAAAGGCTCCAAATCAGCCAATCTCAGCCCAGAAAAGACTCTAATGATCTCCCTATTTCACAAACCTTGGCACAAATTTATGACGTTGCTTCATCCCACACATTCTTACCTTCACAAGCCAATGTTGTGCAAATCAGCTGTCAGTGTTGCTTTGATTTAAATATTGTGCTAATGAAACTAAAGACTAAATCAGTTTTCAGACTGGAATTCCACTTTAAAAGCCAAGGCACAAAATGTTTGGCAAATGTAAATTTTAAATCACGTAGAAAACGTAATTCTAGTAAGAAGAACACAAGCCAGAAAAATTATTTCACCAAACAACTGCCACCAACTGTTACCAATCCCTCACAATACACATGTATTCATAATGCCTCTACACTGAACTGCAAACAAGTGAATATGAAACTCTGAGGGTTAATTGCTAAAAAGCTTTTACCAGCAGCAACAGTGGCTTCAATCTACAAACATGCCCTCAAGTGTCTGGAGACACCTTTGTGTACATTCAGGTTTGCACTGATTTTAAACACAGAGCAATTATATTCTTATTTAAACAAAAATAAAGCATGAATGTGTCAGTGCATTCCCCTATGAAACAGAGTTTAATAAAAATGTGGATTTGAGTATTTTTCTTCTCAGAGAAGTGTATATATGCTTTGATGACAAATGCAAGTAGCCCCACATCACTAAAATTTAACACTGACAGGAGAAATGTCCATCCAAAATGAATCCACTACTAACCAAAAATACCATCTTCAAAACAAGGCCCCTCTGAATAATTATTTCTCCTTGTTAGTGAAAAGCTCATAGTATTAATCACTTCCTTATAGTTTGAATCCCACCTTTTGTAAAGGGTATAAAGAAAGCACACAAGTGTTGTGAATAATATCATTAGCAAAAGAAGGGTGGAGAAAATTGCATTACATTGCATTGCAACATTAATAAACATTTAATTTCTGCATATGAACTGAGGACTCAGTCTTCTGTGAGGACACCTTAGATGCACTTGAAAACAGAGCTTAACCCAGTTTTATAGCATTCACTCCTGTTTTGAAGTGAAATGGCATCTGTTGCTACAACTTTAGCAATTATAGGAATGTTTTTTATTTCTCCTGCTTTAATACCAGCACTGCTTTGTGGGGTTGTATTATATGATTTTTTCAAGACAGAACTGCCACCTGGAATTGAGCAACCTCTAAAGCTTCGTTTTTTCCACTCCTTGATGATCACAACCATGGTTGTGGTAAGTTAAATTTCTTAACCTGGGGATTTCACTTTTGCTTAGGTAGGATATTTGGGAGCAGGGGGAAAATGGCTTACTTAAGGGGAAAAAAAAGAAAAAAGCAATTCATGTTCCTGAAGCCTGTAAGCATTGATATATGAATCCAAAACATGGTAAATTAACTCATAAAATTAATATGACTAATCTTAAAAGCTTCTTTAGATTTTTCAGTCAAACTGCAGCCACTTTATGCTGTTTCATATGGAAATATGAAACAAATACCTAGATGTATCCTGTATTGAACTGCATGTACATAGAATAATGCTGTCTGTTCAGAAACAAGCCAACATTACTCCTCTTCTTCCAAATTCTTTCTTTTCAACAGGGAAAGATTTTGGAGAAGCTGGGGATCTGCAATGATTTAACCATACTGAGAGCAGTGGTCAATGGGATACCTCCATGGAGAGATTCCAAACTGCTTATCAAAGATCTCACAGTAGATGAGGTGCCCTTGAGGATTTATCAGCCCAAAAGTCCACCCACTGGCAAAAGAAGAGGAATTCTCTATTTTCATGGAGGCGCTGGCACATTTGGGAGCATTAGTAAGAAATGGGCAAATTTTATTTTTCAAGTCAAATCCAAACCTTTACATTTCTGCCTTCAGGCATGTGTCAGGCAATGTCTGCCCTGTCCTCCCCAGTGTCATCAGTCTTTGCTCAGCACAAACTGGAAAGTATTTGTGGAATGCAAAGTCTTGTGTTAAAGGAGTCCCATGTCTGCCTCCTTTGGGCAAGAGACCTGTGATCCAGAAATCCCTCACCCTGCTCTCAGCTCTCAGTGAGGGAGGCTGCTCTACTAAGACTACCCTGTCTTACATAAAATTTATAATATGGGTCCAAGGAAGGATTTTAAAAAAAAATCTGTAAATAAATTCCCATTCATGCAAACAAGGAATCCAAATGAAGGAAAATATAAATAATGAAGGAGCAATTTGAGGAAGTTTGATTTTTGTGGTGACATGGCAGAGGAGACTTGATTTCTTTTCCAGAAAGGGAGACAACCCTCATCTCAGCAGCTGGGAGTTCAGCTCCCTGAGCTCTGGATCTCCTTCTGAGCTGCTAAGGCTCTGAGTGCCATCTCTGCAAGCCAAGGCCCCTAACATGGAAATCTGAACTTCATTCCAGGGGTCAGGAGTGCAATTTGAGGGGTTTGAATCCTTTACTGTTTCAAAGGGTAGGTCTGCACTGTACTGGGCAGACTTGAATTTCCTGGCATCCTTCAGCCCCATGCAGGAGTCACAACATAACTGCTGTGCCATGGGTTCTCCTCTGCACAGATCACCCACCCTGCTGTACTCAGGGCACAGGCTCATGTCTAGAGCTAGTCTGGGTGGCAGTGAGCATTCCAGGGATGGCAGGCACTCTGTGATCTCAGGGACAGGTGAATTCCTTTCACTGGAAGGAAAAAACACAGCACAAGTGGCACAGTGAGTCCTTGTTCACGTGGCACAGCTTGACGTAACAGCCATACCTGGACACAGAGAGTGGGACCTGACCTTTGGCTTCAATTCCTTTTGGTGTTTGATAACAGGAAAACAACATGATGACAAGCTTTCAGAAGGCTTTGGGAATCTCCAGCCTAGGAAGGCTGAAGTCTGCAACCAGCAAATTAGCAGATGCTACACTGAAAAGAATCAGTGAACAGATAACTATGGACAGATAACTATGGCTTATCCCTCAAATAGATGTCATACTTCACAAATCCTAGAATTGTTGAATAGTTTGGGTGGAAGGGACCTTAAGTCTCATTCCAAGTCCCCACCATGGGCAGGGACACCTTCCACTATTCCCAGACTGCTCCAAGCCCTGTCCTACCTGGCCTTGAACATTTCCAGGGATGGGGCAGCCACAGCTGCTCTGGGCATCCTGAGCCAGGGCCTCACCACCCTCATGCGGAAGAATTTCTTCCTAATATCTAATCTAAACCCATTCTTTATCAGTTTCATCAATTTAAGTTTTTTGAGTCAGCAAATACATGAATAAAGGAGACTGAGTTGCTAAAACCCACTTTGATTTCCAGAAGAGTCTCCTGAAGAGGCTACACACCCATCACACAAGAGGGAAGGTCTTTAATTTGGATTAAAACTGATTGAAAGACAGAAAAAGATGGGCTATGGGAAGTCTCTGTGAGATTCCCATAAGGAGATCTGTACTGGGAGCAGTGCTAATCAATTTATTCAATTGATTTACTCAAACAGGGTGATGTGGTATTAAATCCTTTGAGGGTCATAAATGGATGGCTGAAAAACTGCAGAATGTCTTTATGACAGCAGAGGATCAGACAATGAAATGACAGGAGAAAAGGCATGTAGAGAAGTCAAACAGATGAACAGAGCATTCTGACCTTATAAATGAAGCAATGGACTCCAAGCAGGAGCAGGAAGGAGCTCTTGGGACTATGGTAGGAAGTTACCTGAAATTCTTTACATAGTGCACAGTAGCAGTCAAAAAGCAAACAAAAGGCTAGCAATTATTAGTAGGAAAGGAAAGACAAAACAGGAAACTTTTTTATGCCACTGTAATAAATCCATGGTGTATCTAAATACAGTATAGAGCTTACAGTTCTGTTTCCCACTCCTCAAAAATGATAAAGCAGTACTGGAAAGACTTGGAGAGGCTGCCTAGGTGAGAAAAGTGCTTCTGTGCAGAGAATATGTGAATGAACTATGACTCTTCAGGCTGCAAAAGGTGCATAAGGACAGACTCACAAAGTGACTACAAAATCATGAGAAGCAAGAGACATTAAACAGAGAAGGATTTATCCACCATTTCTTACAGTACAAGAATTCCACCGTGCGGAAGCAGTGAATGCCAGGAACAAAAGGAGCAACTAGAAATGGCTCTTCACACCTTTATAAGCAAGTGAGAGAGCTCCTCCTTGCACAAAGCTGTTATGGTTAAGGTTAAAATCATGGGCTTAACAAGTGGTTTGGGTAATTCACAGAAGAAATGCTCATCAAGGGCATTAGGTATAAAGAACAGCCTCTGTCTCAAAGGAGCACCCTGAGCCTCAGATTCCTGTATGCTCCTTACTCCTGTTTGTCCTCAGCTTACACTCTCCTGAGACACCTTCTGTTGACCACCAAGGGAGAGGTGAGACCACATCAGACAGATTTCTGGGTTTCCCCAGTATCACCATCCTCACATGCTTGTGTGATGCCCTGAGAGCCACTGGCCAACAGAAAATGGACTAATGACACATTCCATAACACAAGCTCCTTATCAGTCTCGCAGTGCCTTCCACGCAGCACGTGTTCAGGGATCTGTATTTTCATTTCAAAAGGATATTTGATTTTCAAATCATAATTTCTGCTGAACTTTCTCTCTAGGAGCCTTTGAAAGAGTATGCCGCTATATGGCCAAAAAATGCAACTCAGTGGTTGTGTCTGTTGGGTAAGTGCTGTTTTGGCATAGAATTATTTATGGGAATACAGCTCTCAGTTGAAACTCTTCTGAAAAATATGCTGAAAATATTGCTGAAAATATTTACTGGTTTAGATCTCATCCCTATTTTTCACTTAAACTTTTCATTTAATTTAGAAATGTGCTTATAGGCAAAGTATTCTAAAACAGCTGTTGCATCATTAGTTTGGCCTTCCAATCTACATTTGTTAAACCCAAATATAATCTTTAAAATTAAAAAAATAAAGTCTGCATAACTACCACAGCAACTGCAAACAACACAAATTGAATGCTTGTAACCCCACATTGACCTTTCAGGTACCGTCTGGCTCCTGAACATCCCTACCCAGGGCAATATTTTGACTGTCTCAATGCCACCTTATACTTCATGAGGAATTTAGAAGAGTATCACGTGGATCCTGGTCTCATCATCATCAGTGGTGACAGCTGTGGGGCTAATTTTGCTACAGTTATTTGCCAAATACTGCTGAATGATAGAGATCTGCCAAAAGTGCGTGCTCAGGTCCTGCTTTACCCAGGGCTCCAGGGGCTGGATTTCCACTTGCCCTCCTACCAGCAGAACGCTTTTGTCCCCATATTGTCCCGGAAGCTGATCATCTACTTCTGTTTTCGTTACCTTAACAAAAAACCCACATTTTGGAAAGATGTTCTACAAAACTGCCATGTTCCTGATAGTATGAGACAACGGTATAAGAAATGGGTAAGTGCTGACCTTATTCCTGATGAATTTAAGGTTAGGGGCTACATACCACCAAAACCTGCATCATATAAGCCTGAAGTCCACGAAGCTATCAAAGAAATTTTAGAACTAACATTTTCCCCACTATTAGCTGAAGATTCCATTATTTGCCAGCTCCCTGAGTCCTTGATTGTGACCTGTGAGTTTGATGTGTTGAGGGATGATGGTCTGTTATACAAGAGGAGACTAGAGGAAAATGGTGTTCCAGTGACCTGGTATCATTGTGAGAATGGCTTCCATGGAATTTTAGCCTTTTTTGGCTATGGGATTTTTTCCTTTTTATCTGGAAATAAGATCATGGACAGTATTGTGAATTATATAAACAGTTTATAGAAGTATTTTTCAGAAGAAAGATGCAAGTCATGCAGTATCTCTATGAATTTATACTTGGCAAGAGATATAAACACCTTTGATTTATGGTTTGGATTCTGACTGCATTTTGTGGTTTCTGATTTCTGCTTCTGTAGTGACTCTCAAACAAATGTTAAGATTATTTGAACTTTCTAGTCCAAATAATAATAATAAATATTCTAGAAAATATTCTTGTAAAAACACACCAATAAGACCGACATGAAAAAGGCAAGGCATCCTGTTTCACTAAAACTACAGCAATTCCAGTATCCTTGCATGGCTGGCACACACTGAAGGCAAGAGACAAGAATCTCCATGAAGATACAGCCCAGAAATGCTGAAGACAACAACTGAGGTCTGCTTTGGCCCTTGTGACAGACAGGAGGTATTGATGGTATCAGGTGGAGAACTCAGCTACTGTGAAGTCTTACAGCAGATACTGAAATTGCAGCCATGAATTTAATTTCCAGGTTTAGTCTCTACAAAAACTACACTGCTCCAGAAACAGGGAAGTCAAAAAAAGGAAGGCTCCTGTCTGGAGCAGAAATCCTAAACTGGCACTAGCATGAGTTTGATTTTGTTTGGGATCTGAGAAATGATGTTTCATTTTGGAACTTCATTCTCAAACTGCAATCTCTGAACTTCAATGAGTGTGTGGATGTCAGAGAAGTGCAGAGATGAGACTTTTCCATTATCCTTTTCTTCTTTCAAGATTATCTTATGCTCAAGCCTACCTGTTCTGCTGTGTTGAAAAAAATCTGAAAACCATGTAAAGAAGGCAGAGAAGCACAATTGTATCTATATTATCACTGTAATGTTATGGTGATTCTGTGATGCTTTCAACAACACAAAATAAAAAAACCTGCACTGCAAATATTTCTGTTATAAGAGTGAGAGTTACATTTGCTAAACACATGAGTGAGAGTTACATGTGCTAAACACATACTGACAAATGAACAGAACTGAAACCCCCCTCCTGTGGTGAAAGGAAGAACACAACTCAGACAAGCAGAGACCACAATCCTGCTGCTTTTACCTGGTCACATCTATGATGTGGTCACATAATTAACCTACCAAACAACTGGATAGAACCACACAACTGTGAAAACACAATACAAACTGAAAATCCACAAACACTGCTGGATGAATTATTTTTTTTTTTTCAAATTTGGGCTTTTGCTGATTTTTGAAACAAGATTTCCTTCTACTTCAGAATATTTTCTTTATTTTATGATGACCATGTGCCCTATTAAAAACATTCAACTTCACACTAGAGAAACAATATGAAACTAAATTTTTATAAAGTTTTGTAACTAAAATAACATGGTACTTTCCCCCTATCACTTATAATTTGACTTTACAACAACACATAAAAAAAACCCCAAGTCCCCACATTGCTACCTAATAAGTTTAGATTTCTTACCTCTTTTCTTTCCCCGTGAATTTGCAATTTAAATGTTCTGACAACCTAGTTGTTTGAAGAGTTGCTGGCTTAGATTCACAATTAATTTATTTGCATCATTTAAAATATACCTCCTCCACATTAGCACAATCCTACTCCTCAGCAAGAACCAGATAAAGCAGTTTGGTTCAGAACTCTATTCACTGCTTATCTGAAGTCATTCTCAGCTGTATTTGTGGCACATAGAGTTACTGAAAGTTACCTGCAACGGGGTCACCTAATTATGAAGCTAAAGTCAACCTGTGCCTCCTGTGGCTTTTTAAAAGCATGTTCTTCTGTTAGAAGAGAGCACAAATACTAAAAAGAACTGAGATTTGGGTAAACACAGAATTTTCTAATGCACCTTTCCAAAGAGCACTGGTGACAACCCCTTTGGCCCTTTTGAGGGACAATCATCACATGCAGGTTCCCACTCCTGAGGAACCTCTTCAGATGGGTGTTTTATAGTGCCACAAACTCAAAGCACACAAATGTCCTCTGTCCATCTTCCACCTCCAACTAATTTAATACTAATGCTGTTCATTCCTAACACTCTTCTCCCAGCTAAGTACTGGTTTCTTGCAAAAATTCCAAAATGCTGCTGGCATAGATCTACTAACAAATCAAGGACTTTGACCAACTTATCTTTTGTGAGATAACAGGAATGGGGGGGGGGGAAAGAAAGTGGGAGAGGGAAAGATACCTGCTAGTGTATTTGTGAAAGGGAGGAGAAAGGTTTTTACTGGAGCAAACAAAGAATCAGGAAGTAACAGGACAAATATATATTGGAAAGTCAAATCAAAGACATCTCAGATCACTGCAGTTCAGCAAAATGGCAATTGTACTCACAGTGCTGGTGTTATTCTTAGCTGGTTTTCTTGCTGCATTTATATTGTTGGTCATAGGGGCAATTAATTTTGATTTTTCCAACTCAGAAATTCCTCCTGGAGTGACTCAGCCTGCAAAGCTCCGAATCATTCATATAATTTTAATATGCACAGCTGTGGTGGTAAGTGAACCTGGGGTGATTTTGGGGGGAAGAACAGAGAACCTGCAGATTTTAAACTTACTACTGTGCTAGCAGCCTGCATGGCATTATGTTCTAGAGAGGAGAGCAGGGCATTGCTGTCATGCTGCATGTTTTATTGAGCTGAGTGGTGCTAAAGAAACTTTTGCCAGAGTTCTGACACTGCACTGCTCTAATCCAGTCCTGCCCAGCTCTACCTGAGGCGGTACCTAAATGCTGCCTTAACACCAGAGTGTGAAAGTCTGACTGTGCTTCTGCCCTGACTCCAGCTGACCTAGAAATCATTGGATTTATAACGTTTATCCATGTTGGATCATTTGTATTTCCATTCTTGGCTCAGACTATAGCAGGTGTCTCTGGCCTGTGCTTTCCAGCTTTTCGTGGACATGGGGATGAGAATTCTGTATTTATTTTGAATGTGAAGTGAGAAGCTGAACATTTCAGAATTGGCTTTGGGAAGGAAAAGTTTCTGTCACACAAGTGACAAAATTAGGTAACATTGCTCAAGAGGAGCTGAAGGAATTCTTCTGCCCAAAGCACATTTATATAACTCCTGCAGCAGCTAAGCAGGATTATTTAATGGAATGAGGGGCTCTGAGCAGCCCAGCCTCTCCAGGTGAAGCAGCCTGTAAAATGTGTGGGAAGGTAATCAGTCTCCAAGAGCAGCACTCAACATCTGGTGAGCTCTGCTGACAGAGGAGCTCACTGAATCACAGGTATTTCTATGTAATGATAGGTGATGCTCTGATGAGACATGGCATTAGACAGGAGGTAACAGAGGTTGTGCATATATTTACTAAATCAATTTAATAGAATATCTGCAAAGAGATACAAGCTATTTAAAATTTAAATAGCAAAACAAAGAGGAAAAATTTCTCTGTCATAAATATTCTAGATTATGGTCAACCATAGTAAAGAATTCCAGATATATATATTCTAATGTTTTGGCTGCACAGAAGTTGTAATTAGAAAGAGATGACATCACTTAAGCAGCTGGAAAAGCCAGTTCTTTTTTAATCATCAATCCACTGCCCACCATAAAGCAGCATTGTATGCTGCAATGTAAGCAACACAGGGTGAAAGAAAACAAACAAGTTGAATGTAAAAGTTAAAATATCCTTGGTATTGTTCCATTCCTGCTTGGAAAACAGCAAATACAAAAGAATAGATCATTTTATCATACAACTGGAGACACTAAGACTAGTTTCTGTAAAAAATTAAAATCAATACATTGCAAAATGTCTTAGTTTCTTCAAGAAATCTTTCCTCAAGATCAGGCATGGAGAATATTAATAAAATATCTGGAATCGCTGAAAAAAAAAGGCTTTTTGTAGATAAATATATTGAGAGTTATGACACTACTGACAATCCATGCAAATGTGGCTGGCTAATAAGAAATATTCATAACAGAATCTTGAGTAATATGAACTTGATCCAAATATTCCTAAGGACCAAAGTACTGACTGGCATGGCTGAACAATGCATTTCAAAACAGAGGATATGCCTTTCATTTATGCAAAGATATGTTGGAGCACTAGCTCTGATTTGTATTCATTTTCTGGTACCTGGCATGAATATCCCTGTGGCACAGAGAATGAACAGAATTCATTCCTACTAAATATGTCAGGATCTTCTTGTCAGTGCATGGCACACATCAGTGAGACTTAGGAAATGGATCAAAAAGCAATTATCAAACATATTCTTAACTCAGTCAACTCTACTTTGGGCAAGTGTCTGTACCATGAAAATCAGCACCAGAATGATCATCTTTTGTTATGTTTTCACATCATTGGGGGGGAGGATAGAATAACCAGTGAAAACCAAACTTGCTTTCAATGTTGGGTAAAGGATCTGCTGAGGAAGCAGAGGATCCTATCTCCCCAGTCTGTTAATGTTGCATTGCTTGGGGTTCTGTTCCTCGTTCATGTAACTCTCTCATAACCCCTCCTGATGCTGCTGTAACTTGTTCAGTTTTCTCCTCTACCTGTACAATACTCCATTAGTTCATTACTGCCCTAAAAACACCTGACTTAGGCACTGTGAGTTCACTGTCCACACAGTTCCTTTCCTTTGGAAAACACAGGGTCTCTTGAGTGAGCTCTCTGTTCTCTTTGCCTTTGAACAGGGAAAGATTTTGGAAAACTTTGGCATCTGCACTCAGGTGAGCTTTGTGCGGTACGTGCAAGGAAGAAAAACCCTGGGGGCAGACCCAAAGCTCTTCATCAAGGATCTGTGGTTTGAGAAAGTGCCTGTAAGGATTTACCAGCCTAAGGCTCCATCTGCCAGCCAAAGGAGAGGAGTTTTATTTTTTCATGGAGGAGGATGGGTATTTGGAAGTCTTGGTAAGATATCTACCAGAAATATTTCACTTAAAGAAATACATACTTCATAAAAAGTAAAGTTGGTTGTTTCTTGATCTGTAGCAGTTGCAAACTTTGAATATAATCACAGGTTCAATCTCATAATTCTTGCTGCCAGAAGAAGGCATCTGCCATGGATCATATGATTTTTCTT